AATATCCGTAGATATTGGCACAGACCTTAGAAACCTTTGCTAATATTTATAATTCATTCTCTTTACTTAAGTTTAATTGCTCCTCTCTCAACATCATATGCTTATAGTGATTTTCAATGAAATCCACTATTCAGAATCGTTGTAACAATATCATGACAATTTTTCTTTTCATTCAGTTTTTTCAGTTTTGCCAAATAAATAAGCTAAATGAGATATAAAATTTGGAGTTAGATCTATATTGACAAAAATATTCAAAATTTGTTTAATAAAGATAGAATTTAATGGAATTTTTTTTAGATTTTGTAAGAATATAAAATTGATATCTCTAATAAATTCAAATAATTCATGTATTAAATCTTGTTTTACTTTCTGATTATAGAGAATTTTTATTTCAGAGAGAATGAAACTTTGTGTTTGACTAATAGATTCTGAAAAATTCTGATCAATTTTTGGTATAAAATTCTTTTGTGTCAGTTTTTGATCTTGAAAAGTAGATATTTTATTATTTTATAATAGTTTATTTCATTTATAATCTGTTTTTTATGTATTCATTTCAGAAATTTAATCTCTTTATCTTCAAAAGATACATTAAAATTTGGATCATTATTGAGTTTATCAGAATTTAAAGTATTATTAGTTATATCAAATGTCAGAACATTCTCAGTTTGTAAGTCAATTTGTTTAGAAATATTATTAGAATTTTCTATTTTAGTAAAGGTGATATTAATCAAAGATTGTTTGATTATCCTGATATCATTATCTGATTTAGATATAAAAGTATTATTCCTTCATAATTTATTAGAGTTGCTCTTTTCTTTATCATTTTGAAATCAGTTTTGTTTCAATTTTGCAACTCTGGCTTTAAGTTCAGTGTTTTCTTTTATCATCTGTTCTATTTTGATATTGAGTTCAGAATCTCTTAACTTCACATTTTCAATATTTTCTTTTGTAGAGTGTTCTAATTATATGATTCTGATCATAAGTGAATCCTTCTTTTTTCTAAGTTTGGGAATTTTAGCATTTTTCTTTTTGAGTCTAGTAATTTCAGCATTATTTTTTCTAAGTTCATCAATTTTGACTATAAGTCTAGAATTCAATTCCTTCAATGAGTTGATTGTAGATTGTGCACTTGTCATTGTTTATATAGAAAGCAGTTATATTCAAAAGTTTAATCACACTTGCCACTTACGTGAATTAAAAAAATATTGGTAAAAATCATGTTAAAACACTTTTTTTGCTATATTTATTGTAATAAAATCAACGTTAATCACATGATTTATAAAGTTATCGAATTCTAATTTATTCACGTGATATGGGTTTAAAAATATCGCCAAATCAGAATAATTCCCCCTGAAAACAACTTACTTACGCGTATCCCATACACAAATAAACACAACTCATACGTGAAAAAATATGAAGGTTAATGCGGATGAATATTGCATTTTTCTGGTTTTTACCTTTTTGTTCATTTCCAAAATAGTTACTCGGATACTTTGATCGTAAAGCATCAGATTGGGATATTATCGGATTCCTCAATGAATGTAACAGAGAAACTTTTAAGTAAAAAATAGAGTGCTACTTAACATCTCTCGAGTTTATTGCGAACACAGAAGGCAGGAAAAAGCGCAGGAACTCATCGATCTTTACAAGCGGGAAAGTTGAGAATTTTTTTTCTTTTTTAATATAAGTGGCGTGATAGGAATCTTCGAGACGTCCTATCATTAAACTCTTCGAGATGAGCCACAAAGGCAGTGTTGGGGCGCAGGCGACCTTCGAGCTTGCCTGATGTTTAAAAGTCTTCGAGACTACTGGCACTGTCAGACACAGATGATCTTCGAGCTTGTCTGTGTCAACATGAAAGTCAAACAAATGATAATATTGATTAACATTCTGACTCTTTCGTTATAGGACTCTCAACCAGATAAAAAAAGGCACGAAAATGGAAAATGAGTGTTTACGAAAGCAAATTCATATTCATCAACCAATTAACGGAACTATAAATGGCATAAATGGAGCCGTTATAAACAGTGAAGCGTTGCATGGTGAAGTGTTTGATCAAAAGAGAACCAATAAGAAAGAGGTAAAGATACGTATTCTTTTTTACTATTTTGTTTCTAATGGACTATGTCATTAAAAATTTTATATGTTGCTTTTTATTGCTTCCCTTAGAAAGGAATCCCTCCTTTAGGGATGAAGCTGAGAGAAAGGAAAAAGCGAGTTTATTATGACGAAAACTCGAACCCAGATACCCTCAGGCATTAGAACAAATTCATCAGATTATCCAAGGCCTAAGAGGGTAAGTGATGCATAAATCTTTTTTGCCTACTTAATAATCGACCTTTTCTCAATTTCCGATTCAGGGTAAAAAATAATCACAGCCTTTAGAAAGCAACAATGAGAATCCTTTAATAGTCAGAAACAATCCAAAAGTATCAGCATTGATAGCGATAGTGATGAAGAGTTGACTGATACGCTAGAGCAGGACACACTAGGTTACGATGGATTAGCATTACTTTTCAATGATTCAAATGAAGATGTAATTATGGGAAAAATCGACGAAAATACTCTCGAGGAAGAAAATAAATTGCCACTAGCGAGTGATACTAAGGCAAACTTTAATGTTGGCATTTATGTGCATACAGTATATTTAGTAGGCATATCGTCATCTCAATAGGATCTATCCAAATTTATACGTGAAGACGTGTTGAATGCGTTTCGGAAATACCAAAATAAAATCCCTAAAAACTCGCAAAGTATTCACGTAAGTTTTGTGTTTTTTATTATTATTATCATGGTCTGATTATTAATCCATTTCGTTTATCTTATCACTTCATAGCCCTGCATATTGGTGAGTGCTTGATCTAACTAGAGAAAGTCTATATGAATGTAAAGAAATTACTGAGAATGACTTACAACAATTATCTCAAGATTTTGCTAATCACGTTAAGTGGAAATGTGAACCTGCCCCAATAAACATCCAGAATTACTTTGACAATCATTGTGAAAAACTTGACAATAGCGATGAAAATAAACATTTTGACGCAAATATACAATTTTTGTACATTCTGACTTTATATTATTGTACAGAAAGATAAACATGCTTTCTTTCCGAGAAATGCTGATCGAAGAACAATTAAAAAGGGCATCGTCTTTTCCACTGTTTAACGGGATATTTACATCCAAACGCATAAAGCATGCCTGGTAAGTTAATTTTCTTTTACAAAGGCATTGAATGTTTTGATTCGATAGTAACAATTCTTTCGTACATAGGGGAGAAATTCAGTCTCTTTCAAGTAGTGACGCGCGTAACGAAAAATCAAATCCGTATAAAAAAGCACGAATGGGTAGGAAAGTCGACATGAAAGCGACGTTATTAAATACACCAAATAAATTCGAGGCAATCTTTGGAGAAGTTGCAGGTGGATTAGGACCGTTTGGAGCCCTTACAGCCTGTCGCAAGAAACGATTCCTAGATAAAGTGAAACTAATGGTAGTCATGCGCGATAGTATTAATCGTCTATTAAAAGAATGTGATTATGTATCGGACGAAAAAAGATTGAAAATTATAGTTTTTGGCTGGCTTCAATTTGGTAAGTTGAATATGACAAGAAATTTTAATGATATTTTCACTAATGGATTATATTTTTAGTTTCTATTACTATTAAATTTGAAGACTTATAATATATATATTATCATAGTAATAAATTATAAAATTCTAATTAATATTATAATTTTGTTAATACAATTAAATCTTTTAATATTTATATTCATTTATAATTATATTTCTTTATAGTCATTTTTCTATTTATATATAAATATAATGAAAAAACTTCTCTATAGTCACATCTTCTTTATAATTATTAATTTTGCTTTTTTGAATATAATTTTAATTAAAATTAGTATAATTTAAAAATATATTATTTACTAAATAATTTATTATAATAATTAATAAAATAACAAAATATAACTTATAATTAATTAATTAAATTTAACTTAATAATTATAAATTATTTCTTAAATTATTAAATTTAGTAAACAAATTTGCTTACTATAATTTATAAATTTATTTTTATCAAAGATTAGAATATTTAAAATTTTTTAAAATTTTTATTTTTTTAAAAATTATAAAAAATAATTAAATAAACATTTTTTATTTTAAAAAATTTTATCTTTTAATCTTTAATAATCTTATTAATTTTTTAAATTTACTTTTTTATAAATTATAATATAAATTATAAAATTTATTATAAAGGATAATATTTATATTATAAGTCTTCAAATTTAATAGTAATAGAAACTAAAAATATAATCTTAAACTTTTTTGTA